AGTATATATATATATATATATATATATATATATATGAATTTAGGATTATTTATAAAATTAACACAATATGATACCTAAAGTGAATGGCAGGGTATGTTGTTGAGCTCGTTTTTTTTATGATAAGCAGTCGTTTAACATCATCATTTCACTTTTATATCACTTCATATTGTGAGAAATGTTCCATTGCATACATACCTATTTTATATATATATGGCTATTGTTCGTGTTTTTTATGAGTGGTTCAGCCTTCATTTTCTGTCTTATTATCTAAATTAGCAATAGTAATTTCAAGATACAACAAGTTACCATTACTCTAAGCTAATCAGAGTTTAGTTTTCATGAACTTTGAAGATTTTTCTTACTTACTGTCGGTGTTAATTATGACATACGGACAACAAGAGACCACTTTGTCCTTCAGTGGTTCACTGCATACTAACTATTGAGAAAAAAGTAAAAACTTAAACCCATACTTTATTATATCAGGAAATTATCAATCCCCCCTTCTTTTAAACTAAGTGCATGTTTTCTAGTACAGCTGATGGTAACTCATTCCATATGTCAGTCACATTGTTAGAAAAATAAACCTGCCTTTACTGAAGTTTATCCTATCTTTTACAAATCTTGTGCCAGCACATTGTTAGAAAAATAAAACTGCCTTTACTAAAGTCTTGTAGTTAGGGCGCTGGGCTCGCAACCTGCGGGTTACGGAATCGAAACCCGTCGCCGAGCATGCTCTCCCTTTTAGACGTAAGAGCGTTATAATGTGAAATACAATCCCATTATTACTTACTAAAGAGTGGCCCAAGAGTTGGTGGTGGTTTTTACAATTAGATGTTATTCTGTTGAGGCAAATTATAGTCCTATGTGAAAAAATCCATGTACTGTATAGTCTTCGATCATAGTTCAAATTTCCTTTCGAAGGAGTATTAGAAGCTATCCGCCTTTCGCTTGTTTCAAGCATTCAGTTTCTCTTAGTGAAAACATAAGTAACAGCATGATCACGTGGCTACAATCTTTATGTCATTGTTTTTGCTTATCTTTACTTTGTTCTTTTGCGTATTTGCTTACGCAGTAGCTAAGTGAACAAGTTGTTTGTTCATGTTTCTTTATGGTCGGGATCATCCGCCTGCCCTAGCGTCTGAGTGTCTGCCTATATGCTGTAGCTAATCTTACTGCTTAATTTTTGTGTGTTCCGTATAAGCTGCATTTCGTCGAAGTGCGTGTCAGCATATAGCTGTGGTGTACATATGTAAGGAAGGGTCACTAAACTTGTAGTATGTGGAGCTTAATAATGTAAAGAATCAAATAAATACGTAAAGAAACCACGTGATTCGGTGGTATGATAATTCTACCGAATCTTAGCTTATATTGAATGTGTTCTTCTAAACTATTGGTGTGTGTAAATGTACCTTAAGTATATTGTGAATAAATTCAAAGAAACATTAAGGTTTTTCAAGATAAATTTGTATACTAAAAGAAATTATTATTTAATTATTAAATTTTATTATATATGTGTGTGTGTGTGTATGCACTTATTTGTCATTCACCTCATAAAGTTCTTCATTCTTTTGTTGTTGTTTTTCGTGTATTCGTACGTCAGTAGCATTTAATATGAAGAACAATATATGGGAAATGCGTTGTTCAAACAGTTCAATACGATTAAATACAGAGTTAAATAAACAGTTACATATATGTACGGTTTTAATTGACGCTTCAGAAAATGAAATGTGAAATGTAAGAGATGGCTTAGCGGTAAGCTAGAGAACGCTCAGTGCTAAAATGCGAGGCTCAATTCCTAAAGTAGATACAGCGAAAACAGTCCGTTGTGAAACTTTGCGCGATCACAAAACAAATCAGAAATTGTACCTCAAAGAAATCGTGCTTAGGTTATTTAATCATTATTGTCCTCTTTTGTTTGTTTTACTGCTAGTTTTTCTCTTTTGTAAACTTCACGTTATTACATTATTAATATTACATCCGTACAAGAGCATATTGGACTTTAAAATTTTACCGGCAAAATAAATAAATAAAATCTAGAGGGGGGGTCACAAATTTTTCATGAAAATAACGAAAATGCATACTTAAGAAGTGTATGCCATATAATGTGAACACATTAGTAATACTTAGTTCACACGATCAGTAATCTTGAAAACCCAATGGAGCCCTTCACAAGACAGAAGATAACGTATACAATTTGCATGTTAATTTATGACAGTATATAAATAGTTATTTCTCTGTTATGCTGATACAACATTAACCTTTTCTTTTTGTATTTACTTCTCCAAAGGGGCCCATCGGGAGTTTCCTGTAGTCCCGGTGAGCCAGTCCGCTTCTTCATTCATGCCACTTTATATGACTTTAGAACAGTAAATTTATGCGAGTTATTAATATAAAAATACAGACGGTTATAATTGAGGCAGAATGGTTAGTGTGTCGGAATGTGGATCCGAGGTTCTGTGAATCGCGCCTCTGCACTTTGGGATCACACTATTCGATGAGAGTAGCCCACGAATTGGCACTAGGTGGCGCTAACTAGTTGCCTTCCCTCCAGTCTGTTACTTCAAAATTAGAGACGGCTAACTCGGATAACCCTCAGTTAGCTTTGCGCAAAATTCGATAAGTAAACAATTTTAAAATGTGATGTTTAAATTATACTTTAGATAATTTTTAGATTTTCTGAATATACAACCTGCTTAGCGACTTTTATAAAAAATTTCAACACCACTTTTAAAAGTTTTATGGATAATTCATCGTATCTTTTTAGAATTATAAAAAAAATATGCCGTCGAAGAGTGAGATATCAAAGTTATAAACAAAACTAGCTCTCACAGTTTTTCTGAAAGGCAACAACATCAGAATAACACCACATGCGTGTATGTAGTAGTCAACATATTTTCACTTCATATACATTAATATCAGAATAACACCACATGCGTGTCTGTAGTAGTCAACATATTTTCACTTCATATGCATTATAAAAAATGTCAAACCAAGAGACAGAATTTTATTGTTTTATTATTGCAAGTGAGCGCGAGAAACGTGACGTTATGCATGCACATCAAACTTTTTTTTCGTGTTATTATTTTTTCGTATTAATACATTTTACAGTATTCTGTATTAATCTTTCGAGAAGCTATGCACGCAAAAAAATATACTGTGAAAAACTACTGTGAATTCTGATAACTGTATTCAACGATCATATGTGAAAGTTTTAAAGAAAAATGTTAATTAAATACTTAATATTGATTGACTGAAAATTAGTCTTAATTGTTAGCAAAATAGCCTGTTTCATTTATTGAAATGCTCTCTGCAAAATGTGTTACTTTACGCCTAAATTTCTTGTTATTAAAAAATTTCTAATGATTCATAATACAATCCAAACGAAAACATGAAAACACAATCTTAGTGTTCTTTGATTCTGTTGCATAAGTAATTGATAATAATGCACCGAAAGGATAATAAGTTCATAAGTCCATATGTGTTATTTATTTAATTAATGGAGAGTGTGTGACATTTCTTCGTAATCATTTAACCATATTTAGGTTTGAGGTTGCATATTAAACGCTCTCGTGTAAAACTCTCGAGAATGAAAGCCAATTCTTTTATTGTACTGATATTTGGTATAGTTTTCAAGACAGACTCGTTATAGATTGTTTTTAATGTTTAATCACCGAAAGACAGCCAGTGTTAATTCTGATGCTCAAGTTAAATTGCATCACGTTATATTCTTGTAACTTTTAAATACAGTACTTATGTACAACAAGTATCGTGTTACTTTAGTTCGCCATAATGTAACTGGCACTTAATATCGTTTCATCTCAGTACTTATTAAGCATGCATTTCTGGGTTGTGTTGTTTTGCAATCCTAATAACTTTAGTCAGTACTGATGAAAGTAATTGCTCATTCTCCCATGTCAGAATCTCACCAGGTAACGGACAATGATTCCAGAAGAACTCGTGAAGAGCGTAGGTGTGTATGAAATATATCTCACAATGCCTCGAAATAGTCAGTATTCTGTAACAGTGCACTTGTACCCTTACATTGTTGCTCACAAAGTCTTCATTTCAATACTCAAAACATACAGGTTTTGTGGGGTAGTGTACAGTATTAACTGAACGATAGTGGGGATAACGTTTTTAACAAGGGTTCATACTCGCAAATTTAAGTTGTTCGAATTGGCACCGTGAGACTATTAGTATGTTGTATGTCTTGTCTTATCTTGCTGTTTGGTTAACTGATGTTTAAATTTACAAGACACATATTAACAATAGGATCATTTAGAAAGAGATATAGGGAAAAAACTTTATGAATCTTTCAAAATTAGGAAAAAGCTATGTTACGTTTAAAACGTAATGCACAAATTCTTATGGTTTAAAGTTTCTAAGAAAATGTTAAGAGAATCCATACAATATCATAAAGCACAAATAAAATCCTCTTAAATGCTGAAATTAACTTAAAAAGAAGATTACATAGAAAAATTAGAACAAGAATTCAAAAATAACATGCAAAAAATGCTTAAGAATGAAGCGTTTTACCTAGACTTCATTCAGTTATGATAATATATCATCAAACCAAATAATATTATGTGGACAGAACTTAGATTCAGGCAGTTATCTAAACTGGGAAGATTATGTGTGAGATAAACAGAACCAAATAAAACTCGTCATTTTCTGACAATCCAGATCTAGTGATAATTTATCTAGATATTAAATGTCAGACAAAGAAAAAAAATATGTTGTCTAAAGATTTAATTTTTCATTACACCAAATGAATTATTCTAGTTTTTTCACTAATTTTGAATTGATGCTTGAGAAATTAAAAATACCAATGGTAAGCAACAAGAAAAGAGTTTTGACAATGTTAGGATTGAAATCTTAGGGTTAGCTTTATGATAATTTTTTTTACTTTAAAAACAAATACATGTTGCAACTTATAAAGAAATGAGCAAAAGGTCATCAAACACTTCAGGTCCCTGTAAGATTTGGTTATGACAAAACCAAATAAAGTACATGTGGTAGATTTTCTCAACAAACCAAGACTAAGTGAATAGAGCACTTAAGGTTTTATATGATATTTGTAAATTCCAGTTGTTAGATATGTATAAAATAAATTAGGAGGAACGTAAATTACTATGGTATTTATTAACATTAAAAAAGAAAAGAAACAGTTAATATCTACTGAGGTCTATGGTGATATTAAACCAGCAAGTTCTCAATGTGTTATGCCATACAGGTTACTGATAATCCATAAAAAGATGTTCCCATATGTTCCTTTGTCTCTGACATTAACATATACAATCACAAATTACCTGGTTTTGCAGGAACTCCCAATACATCCTATTGTCTCAGTATACCATCAAGTGCATGGTATTGCCATGGTGTCCAAACTGGCACTAAGTTTAGTGAATCTCTTACTCTGTTTCAATTCAAACCGATGTGACAGACATGTTGATGACACATTTGTCATATTCAGAAACCAAACATTTATTTCATAGCTCCTGAACTGTTTAAATAAACACCATGTTAATATTTAATTCACAGTTGAAAAATAACAGGTTTCTCATCTATCTTTCTTAGATTTAAATATAAAACATTATAGAACTACATTTGTTATTTCACTTAACATAAACCCACCTACACTGGCCTGAACTTTCATTCCACCAGTTTTATACTGTTTGATTACAAATTGAATTTAAATGACAGTTTATAAAGCACATCACCTGGAAAGTGACTTCTTAGGTTTCCGTAAAGAAATATATAACATGAAAGTGGTGTTGCAAAAGCATTATTTCCCCTCTGTCTCATCAATAGCACTGTTAAGAATTTTCCCAACAAACCATATAAACCATAGAGAATGAGATATGAAATGCCAAATCTTTCATCGTATGTAACTTTACCATCCACAGGTTTTTGTAGTGTAGTGCTAAAGAAGAAACTGAAATATATTTCTCAGCCAGGTTATGTATATGTGAATTTTAAATTTATCATGAAGCCTAAAGTCCATCTTGGTCAATTGCTTTCATCTGAAGAATGAATTCTTACTCTCAAACATTTACTTGTAGTTGATCAATTTTACATGTCATCCATAAGGATATGGCTATATGATGTCAACAGTCCATTGTTTGTTTGCATGAATTGTGGTAGACATATTATCATATTCCTTATTTTCACTCAGGAATTCTTAATAATCTAAGGGCAGGTGTACAGAATTTACCACAGGTTCAAATGCATTTCTACAATGACTGTAATGGGAAACCAAGTGTGAATAACTTCAAGATCTTGACCAAGTCCAAATGAAACTTTGTACATTATGAATCTTAAACCTGAATTAGATAAAATTTGTTGGCTACTCAGTGATTATTGATAATGTTACTGTCTGAATGAAACGTGTAGTGGCACTAAGCTTGGTCATGTGTACTTTATTTAAAATAGCTAGAATATACCTACTGTTATGTTTTAGATATAATGTAAGCTACATTTTATTCAATATATTGTGGTAAAAAAAAGTGATAATGTTCATTATGCAAACCGCTGGAAGAACCATTTCTCTGTTTGACGTAAAATTGTTCATTGTGCCAACTGCTGGAAGAACCATTTCTCTGTTTGATATAAACTTGTTCATTATGCCAACTGCTGGAAGAACCATTTCTCTGTTTGATGTAAACTTGTTCATTATGCCAACTGTTGGAAGAACCATTTCTCTATTTGATGTAAACTTACAGCATGGATTGTCTACTTATGGGATATGTGTTATATAGACTTGTTCAGATATTTTTTGGTGTAAGTATATAGTTGTGAAAAGCTACATTTAATTTTAGATTAGTAATCTTAGTAGTTTTTCAGACAGTGAGAGGTAACATTGATGAACTGAATGGCCTTGGGTCACTTTGTGTGATTTTTGTACTTTTACTTGGCACTACATACAGCTATTATCAAATCTTGTGACATTTTATCTATATGTTTATGTATTTTATCCTTCTATCACCCTCTCATTTTATATACTAGAAATGTGAAGTGTCGGTATTACCAGGTGCTACTTTTGTTTGTTGTATTTAAGTTCTGTTTTTTTGTTTGTGACAACTGTAGCAGGTATATGAGTATGTTCAGATGTATGCTTGTGTGTGTGATTAGGTATACAAGTATGTTCAGATGTATGTTTGTGTGTGTGACTTGGCATACGAGTATGTTCAGATGTTATGTTTATGTTTCTCAAATAACTATTTAGAATTGTCTAAACTATACTGCCTTGCTACTACTAAAGATTTATTTGTTAACTTTCTTGTTTGTTTTTTGACAGACTGATGTGTTCCTACTATGCTTCAGTGTTGATAAACAAGCATCATATGACAATATTGCCACCAAGTGGCATCCTGAAATTAGACACCATTGCCCTCAGGCTCCTTATGTCTTAGTTGGTAAGTTTAGTGAATTATAAAGGAACATAATACAGAATTTAAGTGCATCTGTTATTCTCAGGTAAAAATGAAACCAACAGGTAAGTATTAAGAGCAGAATTTGATTAAATCGGACTCAACCAAAATAAAAAGAGGTTAACAAAGTTGTTGGAATTTAAAAGAATTAAACTACTTCATTGTCAGTCATTGTTCTACATGACATAATAGCTGGCCTTTCTTTAACAGCTTGTACTGCAATCATTCACAAGGTATGATTAAATCAAACTCAACCAAAATAAAAACAGGTTAACAAAGTTGTTGGAATTTAAATAATGAAACTGCTTCATTGTCAGTCATTGTTCTACATGACATAATAGCTGGCCTTTCTTTAACAGCTTGTACTGCAATCATTCACAAGGTATGATTAAATCAAACTCAACCAAAATAAAAACAGGTTAACAAAGTTGTTGGAATTTAAAAGAATTAAACTACTTCATTGTCAGTCATTATTCTACATGACATAATAGCTGGCCTTTCTTTAACAGTTTGTACAGCAACCAGTCACAAAGTTGCTTCTGGACTAAACAAAAACAAAAATTGTATATGGCTTGAACAGAATGAAAAACTGAAGTCTAGTAATAGTTTCACTCAGACCTATATATTAAGTTCAGTTCTACTACATTTTGTAAGAGGCTTCACTACACGTATCCAAAGATAATCTTGTTATCAAAAGTGGGGAAGTAACCCTTCCTTGTGTTGATTTCTGCATGTTTCTAGTACCCAAGACATTGTAACAAAAAAGGTAATGACTCATCTACTGTACTGGCCATATACAGCTGCAGTAACATCTGCATTATCACTGCCTGTGTGCGACAGCTCAAGGGTAGGATTAGCATCATTCAGAGCTGGGTTCATTCTGCCCACATTAAAATCTAATTAAAGACAGACAACCTGATATATAATTTGGAAAAATTTACCTCATATCTGAATAAAGATAATTTGTTTTTTAAGTTATGAAAGAGAGATGGCCATATTATATGTATACAACACATCTTTAATGTTGATGGTATTTATGCACTTTGGCTGTAATAATTAAATATTGAAATTTTACAAAACTACTATTGAAGTTTTACTTATATTGTTACTTACATATTGTGCAGTTCAGTCATTTCCCTACAAAGAGCTTTTCCTGTGGGCATCTAATATAAAATTGAGTTTTATAGTAAACAAAACATTTAAAAACCTATCTGGATGTGGGAGATTGAATGTAAAATTTTATGCAACTACTTGAACAATACAGTTTGTCATTTTTTGACATTTGGTTCAACATGAATTTTTCAGCATTTGTATTTCAGTTGTAAATTATAAACCCTTTTCTTAGCAATGAATTACTAGCAGTATAACTTGTGTGATACAACTAATCTGTTAGGTTATTGCTTTGTCTTGAGTCCTAACAAAGTTTTATTCTAGATTTAAGTTACTGTATCTACCAGTCTTAATTCTGAATGATTACTTGGCTGTTAAGCTCCCTGAAATTCAAGAATTTCAAGTCAAATTCAATTCCACAATTTTCAGCAAATTTATAATATCTAATAACTGCTTCAGTTTTATTTGTGATTACTTATTCCACAGAGTTATTTTGAGTATTTCAAAAGTCATGAGAATAATTATGAGTGTAGTTTGTATTTTCATCCCCTGCAAAAATGTACATCTGGATTTTTAGATGGATCCAGTGTCTTGTTGTTGTGTTTCAGTTTTAATTGATAAATATTAACACCAAAGGTGTAATGGATTAGAAACATTTGGGCATGGCATACCTTTACTTTTTTAGCCAAAATGCCATACCTCCACTATTTCAAACAAATAGCACCTTACATCTCATCCACTACTTCAAGGTGTGACAAAATTAAATAAATTTTATTGTAAGATTTTAATATGTAGATTTCAGTTACTGCTACTATTTCTGAAATGTATGGTTTTTATATATAGACAATTTAATAAATAATAATTTCAAAATGCATTCTGGCACTTCTTTATTTAGCACTACACCACTGATTAAACTACAAATAGAGGATCTCTCATCCTGGAAAATTGTATTTTTAAAACTTGGAAAAATGTTTCTCATTTCCAGCTGTAATAAAATGTATTCCAAAAATTGTATAGAATTACCTGTGCTTGGAAAAGACTGATTTAGAAAGACCACATTTCACAATATATTGTTTGGATCTTTATTACATTTATTTGGATAAATTGGTGCTTTATCTTTGGTAATTATAAATTTCCACCTATTATTCTCTCAAAACCTTTGACATTTAGTATTTCTATTAGATGTGTGACCATCAAAGCTTGTCCACATGTGATGTCTGCCTTGTTTCTCATTTGCCATTTGCAAGAATCACTTTTTATAAAAGAACACATTACATTTATTTGTTAAAACACTTTTTGTGTTAGGATTTTTTTTCTTTAAGGTATGCTGATGAAATTAAGTAACAATAACTAGTGTCAATTATGTTGTGGTAGGATTACATTAATCAGCATTCCATTTGTTAACGTTATGTTTCAGTAAAGATGTATGTCCTATGTGTCATGAAATATTTTTATTAATAATCAGATCTCCTAAAACTATTTTTTTATCTTTCTAGGTAATAATTATTTGTACTTATATTAGTGGTAATCAGTAGTATTTGTGTATATCTTTACAAGTTAAAAATATTCAAAAATTCTTTTAAAAATTTGGAGATCACTAAAAAATCTCAAATATTGAACCGAACTGAGTATTTAAAACACAATTCTGCACTTTTACTTAAACAGTGCTGTGATTAAAACAAATAGATTTTGCTCTGAAAGATGTACTTGTTTCATTTAGGAACCAAGATAGACTTACGAAACAGCAAAGACCTTCCAGAAGATGTACAACTAGTGTCCAAAAATATGGGTCGTAAGATGGCTACAAAGATCAAAGCAGAGAAATATGTTGAGTGTTCAGCAAAAACCATGGAAGGAATAAATGAGGTAGACTAGACTTTTTAAAATATTGTTTAATAAAGTTATATTTGAAGAGTTCTATGGCAGGTAATATTTAATGTATATTCCTTTGTTTAGCCTTTAAACTTTCCAATTTGAATGGTTTTCTAATACTATTTCATATTTTGCATAATCATATCATATAGATAATTCACCTTATATATATCATTTATTAACCTATTTTTCAACTTCTTTGGAAAATTACATAAAATACACTCAGTTGGAAAACAAATGCCAAATAATATCTAATTATTTAGTTGAGTAATATGTATTGATATTACAAATATTCATACCCAACATACCAAAAGATAAGCCCAAACAAAACTTCATTTGCAAACAGTATGTACTGAGGTTTAAAACTGAAGGTAAACTGTAACAGTTTCTTATTATTCATTTGTATGCAGTGTATATTGTGATTAAATACTTCTGAGAAAGTTCAACAGTATTAATCTATTCAGCTGCTAATAATTCTTTGGAGATTAAATATCTAAGAATACGAACATTCAACTCTTTTTTTTTTCTGTCTATCACATATTTGTAACTTTTTAAAAAGAAGTAAAACTTGGACAAGCAAGATTTATTCTGTGCTTGCTATTTGCTTAATAGGTGCTTTTTAATCATTTGTTTTGTTGGTTTCCCAGTTTTATTGATTATTTTTTGATGGAAATTGAAGTTTGCAAGATCCAATAACATAGTTGGTTTCCAGTTAGAAGAAAGGTGGATGAAACCTTGCTTTGTCAAAGTTTCACTTTAAAAAAATTTTAAATATGCGATTGACAGCTAAATATTTAGATTCTGTTTTGCTTTGTATTGCTAATTAAATGTCCACTATTTATCAGTAAACAATCTTGCATTGAAACTATTAAAAAAGCCATAAACCAAGTAATATTCATTACATACCTGTTCATTAAAGTAGATTGGTGAGTGGTAGAGCAACAAAATATAAAACAATATTTGGTCTTTTGAGCACCTTAACAAAGTTTAGCAACAAATATTTAGGTGTTTTGTGAAACTTGAAAGTACAGGTTACAAAAACACCATGGTTATCTGACTATGTTAAATTTCTATTCTGTGAATTATAGGTTTGAATTTAAAGCAGTCTATGCATATGCTATTCTTCAAAACAAAAACAAAAAACTACAGCTTTCATTGTTATAATAGTTATACTATGAAAACTGACAGATATCAAAATTGTTGTTTTTTTTAACACTTGAAATTTAATTCCTCATCTACTTGTAATAAAATACCTTTTGTATGATTAGGAATGAAATGACCTTTTGTGGTTTGATCATATAAGAAGTGTTATGTACTCTTTTGCCTACATCTTTCAAAGCTAGACTTTTAATATATTTTCCATGCTATTATCTCTTGATTATAGGTGTACGAAGAAGCGGTGCGAGCAGTCTTGAATCCGAAATCTACTCTAGGAATTCGTGTTCCCAGAAACTGTCGTCTTTTGTAGCTTTGTTGAGTAATGAATTTTAAAATGTTTGAATGCATTATCTGTGAAGTTTCCTGAGGCTCATCAAATTATTCAAAAAAATCATCAACAATTTTAATATTTTTTGAAACGTGATTGTATTATCTGTAAGCAATATTGTGTTTCTGATCAGCAGCAGTAGAAAATATATAAACTGTGTAATAAGAGAACTGATAGTTGTGTACCATTAAAAATGTAAATTTCTTTTTCTTCAAATTATTGGACTAAAGAGGTATGAAAAATACTAAAATTATTATGGCAATATTTGATTACATTCAGTAACAATTCTTCTTCCTTGTTGGTAAGAAGTATGTATTTGTTGAGAGCACCCACATTTGTTGTCTATTTTACAAATGCAAACTATGTGAAAGTGAAAAAATAATGATAAATATTTAATCTAGGATGTGTTCATTTAAACTGCATATTTTGTTATTAGAGTATTTTAGTTAAAAGGAAAATTTCTTTTTGATTTTAGGATTCAAAATTACAAAAGTCAGAGGACCTTGTAAGCAAGTTCTTTAGAATGCAAAATCTGATCAAGGAAAGTTATTATGCAGACGTATAGAAGTTTACATGAAACTTCAGATTTATCTTATAGAAGCTTAAATAATAACTATATTAACTACAAAGTGTGTGTGTGTGTGATTGTGCGTGCACAAGTGTGTGAAGATGAATATTTTATGTACAGATAGGATAATGTATTGATTTTAATATTTTTCTATTCAAATGCAAGTCAATTCTTAATTGATAAGATATTGCGTTTATATACTGTTGAATGGTGAAACACATATTTTAGTATGCTTAACTTCATATTTTACACAGGTTTTCTTTCTTAGAATAGTTATTTTTATGATGTGCATATTTGGGTATGTTTTTTATGTTGTTTTTTTTTTTTTCGAATTATCAGTACTTTGATCAATTTCCATATTGAAGGCATATCAAATGCCTCTAGGATTTCACTCAAGTATTTCTCAAGCATCACAAAAACATGTTTGTTGGTATTTGCTTTTTACATATACATATGTACAACCTAAATAATAATATGTAGATACAAGTGAAGCAATAAGGGATCATAATTCTTTAACAGATTATATATCAAACTACTAAGTAAGTTTTAAGTTATAAAAATTATGTACATTCTATATTCACCAAGTATTTATCCAAAGGTTAATTTTTGTGCAATTTTATGTGTTTTATTTTCATTCCAGTCTATAATGTTGATCTGAACAACATTATAAAAACAGCAAAATTAGGTTGGAATAGAAACTTGTAGGAGTTCCTTCATAATAAAGTTTCTTCTTCAAAATAAAATAATGTTGTTTTTTTTCCACTTTCACTCCAAAGATGCTAATCACTTGAATACTCAAATTATTATATTTTGTATGAATTTTCATCTTTTTTGTGGAATTAGTATGAACCTAACTGGTATAATACTTAATCTTAGTTGATCCTTAAAGATAGATAGGAACAGACCTCAATCTAAGAGTTGTGTAGTTTTGTAACATTTTATTGACTATATTTTGTTAATTTGTATTTGGAAACATAATTGCTTTTTTATAGATAGTACAAGTCAATGTCATATCCTTCATTTTTATAGCTCCTTCCTGATGATATGCCATTAATTATGTTGAAAAAATTTTGTATAAGAATGAACCACAAAATTGCTGTACCAGGTTGCTGAGTACAGAGTAAGTGTAATATGAATTTTATTTGCCCATTATTTTCTGCCTTTTTCACTTTTTGTGTGTTAAGCATTCTTCATAGAGTCAGTAGACTATATATGTAGGGATAGCTAAGGTACTCAATAGGTGTCTCTTGGTAGAACAGCAATAGGTCTGCAGATTTACAATGCTAAAATCAGGTTTGAGGTGGATATAGCTGATAGCCCTATATGGCTTTGCTGTAAAAACAAACAAGAAACTCAATAGGCATAATACAAATATTCATGCTAAAAAATCAACAACAGAGAGTTTTACTTTAAAAGATAATTGCTACTCATTTTCACTTGTTTCTTTACCCAACAAGGAAGAAACCATCGATAAGATACCAAACCAGAAAGTAACAAATCCACAAAATTGTTCATCTTTCTTCTTCTTGTTTCAGTTGAGATAACTGTACAACTACTTTATCACTAATGTCAGTTTAACATCACTCCACGTCTTACTAGTAAATTATTTATACCATTAAACTTTACCACAACTGATTTTGTTATTAATAAAAAAAAAATCATCAAGGGAAATGAAAACAAAAAATACATGTAAAGCTAGAAAACAAAATAGTTTGTTTATTGCATCCAAAGAAAAGCATAAAAATCACCATTGTGTTTGGATCACCAAGGATGAAGAGATTGTTTGTAACAAAACAAGTAGTTTGATACTTAGTAGATTGACTGACAGATGAAACCTGCAATAAGTGTGAGGAAGTGGAAACATCAGAAGGATAAAAAAATATCAACACAACTTTTACTGAAGAGATCTTGGTGAAGTTAATGAGAAACAATATAGGTAAAGAGATCTTGATGAAGTTAATGAGAAACAATATAGGTAAAGAGAAAAGGCACAAAATGAAATAAAGTGAAATTAGGAATGAGATTTAGCTATTAAACTCATTAAACATTGTTATACACAGATACTTTGGACTTTATTAATGATTTCCTTAGCTTGAAGCAATGTTATAAACTTCACATATGCAAGAAAGAGAATGTAATATAAGTGAACGAGCTTAGATATTCTTACCTTTTAAGTTTAGTCAGTGACTTCTTTACTTAATGTAGAATGACATTATGTACATTGTCAGATATTTAGTGTAGGCTGTGTTATGAATTATTTATTTTGTGTTTGTGTAATTCATTGATGTTGAGGCTATCAAACGTTGTGTTTGCAATCCATTGATGTCGAGGCTATGGAGGTTTCTAGAAGGCCTAAGTGATAGATGTATAAATAGCTGTGACCAGATGAATGGAAGAAGAGTTAAAGTCACATGAGAGAGAAGTTTGGTTAGAGAAAAGTTAAAAAACGTAAAGTTATCTGTTGTGGGAGTGAATGGCCATATGTTAGAGTGAGATTAACAATTCGAAAGAGATAAGGAGAATAATTTGTCTTGTCAATAGGTGTTCTAGTCTAATTGAATCCTCCTGTGTGGACTTTGATGAAAAGGCAGACGATTATTGGAAGTACGAAAAGCAGACAATTATTGAAAGTATAGGATACAACTGCAGTAACTCACACAACAGCATAAGTGAATTATACATGGCTTTTCAACTAAATTCTAAACAACTGAATTGGCCTCAGTGGACTTTTGACCAGAAGAATAGAACTGTATAGTGTTTAAGATACAACTATGTTCCCCATAGTGTAAAGAATTTTTTTACGTACAGTACTGTGCAAAAGTGTTGGGACAAGAGAATACTTTGTCATTCTTTCCATTTTATGGGGCTAATTTTTCCATGTAAATTTCAACACTATGGTAATACTTCACTGATCCCTGTTGACAACTGAATAAACCAGGGTGAGAATACTTATCATTCTTTAGAATTCCCATATACTTGTACCAAGGGCATGTCATTAAGGGTTCTGCTTGAATGAACATACTGATCAAATTTAGAGTCTGAAGTAACTTTAATGGTACCCCATGCAGTGTCTTAACTGTATAGAAAGAAGCTAGCAAGGAGCTATATATGCTAGAAAAAATAAATTTAGTAGCACTCCTCAAATAAACATTGATAAACACTGTATATTAAGTTTTGTTGTCATGCCACAGCCCAAAAAGTGTAGAGAATTGTCAGTAGAGCAGAGAGTTTGCATAAAAGCTTTATGTGATGCTGGTTGGACTCTCTGACAAATTGCTGCAGACTTGACATGCTCCCCAAACTCTGTCAAGTACACTCTAGATCATGATACCGAGACAGGTAAATTTTAAAATAGGAAAGGAAAAGGCAGAACGTCTAAACTCAATGATACTGAGTTATGCAGCCTTTGGGACAGAAGGAAGACTGTCACTGATCTCATGAGATAAACAACCATGTACCAAATGACAGAAAAGTGTCCAGATCTACAGTATCAAGAAAACTCAACTAGAATGGAATATTTGGTCGTGTAGCAGTTTAAAAAATTTTACTTCAATCTCCAAATATTGCTAATAGACTGAAATTTGCTAAAAGTACAAAAACTGGAGTGTTGATTGGAAAAGGATGTTATGGACAGATGAGACCAAGTTTGAAATATTTGGCTCAAAACGTAGGTTGTACGTCTGGTGGAAGAAAGGTGAAAGATACTTACCTTAATGCATAACGCCTACCATGAAGCACGGGGAATGCAGTGTGATGGTTTGGGGGGGGGGGGCTGCAGAGGCAACAGGAGATATTTGCAAAATAGATAGAATTATGAACCAGTGCAAGTACCATGAGATACAGATCCGTCATGGTATACCCAGTAATTTGCATATTATTGGTAAAGAATTCTACTACCAAGAAGATAATGACCCCAAACAGTCATGCAACCTATGCAGAAATTACTTAGCTAAGAATGAAGCTACTGAAGTCATTCAAATGATGCAATGCTCCCCCCACAGGGCCCTGATCTCAACCCAATTGAGCAGATCTGAGATTTTGATAGATCAAAATCTTGACATATTAAAAGTTACTTCTAAAGAAACTTTGTGGGATGTATTAGAGACATTTGGAGTAAAACCCCAAAGGACACTGATTAAATATGTTGCCGCAATGCCTGAAAGGCTGTCTGCAGTTATAAAGCAAAAGGGAACACACAAAATATTAATTGTTTGTTGAACTCAAACACTTCCACTGAGTTTCTGTTGTACTAAATATGAAGATTAATAAAATTTTGATGTTTTACCTGTGACTTACCTACCATTGCTCTTTGAAAGTACCCTGAAATCTAATTTTTGACTTTGTCCTAACATTTTTGCACAGTACTGTATATTAACTTGTTTTGAATATATATATATATATATTATTTTAAAAACAAATGGAGTGCGTGCTGTTTGTTTATTGTCGAATTTATCGCCAACAAGTTACAGACACCTACTGTAGAAGAATCCTCAGCTCAACACACCCATACATTTAAATTACCATATATACTACTAAAAAGTAGTTCTCAACATACATGTTAAAAAACTAGTGTTTTACCTTGCTTCTTATAAAATCCTGGATTTACGTACCTCTTTGCCTTAAAGCTGATTTTTTGTTCTAATTGTTTATGTCTCCATTTG